GTGTTCTGGATAGGTTTTTTGTTCCCCCCATATATTGGTGAGAGGTGATTTTAACCTTGTAGCAAACCCTCTTTTGGACCGAAAGCTCCTCCACGCAATCTTCCCAGGCTTTCCCAAAATCCCTTACTAAAAAACTAGATGCCCTCCAACTGGTGGACACCTGGAGGGCGCATAATACAGGAGCCAGGGATTATTCATTTTATTCTCACCCACATGACTCTTATGCTAGATTAGACTATATCTATAGTACCCCTATCTTATTAGCGAATTCTAGGAAAGCTTGCATTCACTTGAGTCCCTGGTCGGATCACAATATTATAGCCTTATCTATCACGTTTATAGGATTGGCACCTACCCCCTACTCTTGGAGACTTAATGACTCTATGCTTACTGATATTAACTCTCGCCAAGAGTTGGTTACTTCCATACAGGAATATTTTCAGTCTAACTCCCGATATATCTCCAGCCACACTATGGGTAGCTCATAAGGCGGTCCTACGTGGCCTTATCTCTATGGCTTCATCCAGAAAATTATTATTATTATTATTATACAGTATTTATAAAGCGCCAATAGTTCGCTCAGCGCTGTACATTACAAAGGGGGACAGAACATGTGACAGAACAATACCAATACAATGTGATACACGAGGGGTTCGAGGGCCCTGCTCTTTCGAGCTTACAATCTAGGAGAAATAGAAAATGATGGCAGCAAATTCTACAACTTACCTGAGAATTAGAAGCACATTATAGAAGTCATATTGCTAATCCATCTCTTCTTAATAAACAGTTATTATCTCAAAAACGTTTAGAATTGAATACTCTGCTTTCTCAAAAGACTGAAAAAGCTCTCCGCTGGTCGAAGGCCTCATTTTTGTTGCATAGCAACTCAACATCCACTACGTTTGCAAGGAAATTTAATCACTCTCTATGCCCCCCACATATATATAAGTTGCGCACTACCTCGGGCGCTATTTTATCTCTACCCCAAGAAGTTTTGGGTATCTTTAAAAAATTTTATTCTAACTTATTAGCTCCTCCACAGTCGAATTCTGTTCCACCATCTGAATTATGGTTGGATTCTATACCCCTCCCTGCTCTCACACCCTCTCAGATAGCATCTCTTAAAGCCCCTTGTACTTTTGAGGAAATAACCCGTGCAATTGGTGCGTTAAAAAGCTCTACTGCACAGGGTCCTGACGGATTCACCACTAGTTATTATAAAAATGTTGCCACCACTTTGGCTCCCTATTTGATAACTTTATTTAATGATGTTTTGCGAGGTGGTAAGTTCCCTGAGGAGATGCTATTGGCTAGCATGTCTTTAATACCCAAACCACAGAAAGACCACCATCTGCCACAAAACTATAGACCAATATCAGTAATGAATAACGATTTGAAAATATTTAGCCGCATTTTGGCAGATAGGTTGGCCCCTATTATCTCCTCTTTGGTCTCTCTGGACCAATCGGGCTGTATTCCAGATTTATTACTGATAACATTCACCTCACACTAAATGTTATTCAAGATGCTAATCTACATTCTAAAGAGGTTCTGTTGATGAGTCTGGACATAAACAAGGCATTTGACAGTGTTCTTTGGCCTTATTTATTTTCCTTGCTGCAGAAAATGGGCTTCAGTGACGAGTTTTTGGCTGGTATACACACCCTATATGACTCTCCTAAAACAAGAATAAGGCTTCCTGGCTGTAATTCTGATTTTTTTACATTGGGTAGAGGTACCCATCAGGGCTGTCCTCTTTCACCCCTTTTATTTGCGCTGGTGTTGGAACCTTTAGCAATAGCAATCAGATCACATTCGGATATTTCTGGCTACCCATTATTAGTTTAACATTTCAAAATATGTATGTATGCTGATGTTTTGCTTTTCCTTACCAATCCATTAATTTCATTGCCTAACTTATGTGCTGTATTGAACGATTTTGCTATAGCGTCAGGTCTTACTGTTAATTTTACCAAATCAGTTCCTGATTCCCTAAGTGCATCTCTCCATAGTTAGTTTCCATTTCGTTGGGTCACGGATCGGATTTCCTATTTGGGTATTAATCTCACTCATAGATACTCGGATATGTTTGCCGCTAATTTTCCACTATGTGTATGTTAAGGTCCTACCTTTTCCCAGAGGTTGTGCTGCTTCATGTGCTGGCATCCATCTTGGGTTTCTGCAAAGAGCATAGTGGGAGTCTTTTATGCCTTCAGGCCTCTGAGGTCCTTCCCCCAGAGGGGTGTGGTTGATTACATATAAGTATGTTGTCCGCACATGCCCTTTGCATTCGTGTCTTGTGTGTTAGTGTTGCAACAGCTCTGTGTATACTCTTGTGACTCTCCTGGAATCTGACTCGGCTTGTGACTAGACCATTCTCTGCGTTTTCCTTTGATCTGACCTCCCGTTGCTGAACCCGGCCTGTGACCTGTGATTTTTGTCTACTGTTCTGTACCGTTTGTCCCGTTGTTGTCGACCCGGACTGCCCGATTACGCTATTGTCTGATTCCTACCAGCTACATGCCATTGGCGATGGCCATTGCCGCAGCTGGGGTGTCTCGGGGGCCACGACCTGGTTCCTGGCTCCGTCAAGTCCATCCCCACCATCAGGGGCCCTGGTGAAAGGCAGCCTGGGACTTAGACTCCACGCCCTGAGGGACTCCGGTCTGTGGGTAGTGGTTGTCGTCAGTCAGTAGGTGACCCTGCCTCTAGGCCTGCCTGTCCGTTCCACAGCTCCTGCCCTGACAGTGTATCACGTCTCTCTACTCTATTGAAGATTTGGCATGGTTACCCTTTCCTTTCTGGGTAGAGTCACGGTAGTTAAAATTAATATTTTGCCTAAACTACTTTATCTTTTTAGAGCACTTTCAGTTCCAGTCTCGAAGACATTTTTGGATCACTTTTAGCAGACTATTAATAATTTTAGGAAAACTCATACAAATGAGGGTGAACAAAATGAGCTCACCACTGCTGCCTTGTTAATCATATGCATGATAAGAGAACTGGGAAAAAAGGCGCTGTGGAAAATGCTCTCAGACAAGCACCTTAGTGGAGGTGCATCTTTATTGGGTGAGTAAAGTAGCAAGTATAATAAAATTTAACCAGCCTGAAGTGGACAGTGTGATTCCAATGGACGGCCCGTCCGCTCTGAGGGGAGCTGAGATCAAAGAATGCTCCTGTCGACTTCAAATCACGTGGTCAGCGTACCAGCGTCCTGGGTGGTGTCACCATGGCAAACGAAGGCAGTGTCCGGCGTTGGCTTCAGCCTGGGAGCATATGTGGGGTTACCAAGACGACATGTTTCGCGCAGTTGCGCTTTGTCAAGTCCTTGACAAAGCGCAACTGCACGAAACATGTCGTCTTGGTAACCCCACATATGCTCCCAGCTTCGGACACTGCCTTCGTTTGCCATGGTGACACCACCCAGGACGCTGGTACGCTGACACCCGTGATTTGAAGTCGACAGGAGCATTCTTTGATTCAGCTCCCCTCAGAGCGGACGGGCCGTCCATTGGAATCACACTGTCCACTTCAGGCTGGTTAATTTTATTATACTTGCTACTTTATCTCACCCAATAAAGATGCACCTCCATAAGGTGCTTGTCTGAGAGCATTTTCCACAGCGCCTTTTTTTCCAGTTCTCTATTAATAATTTTTATCTGGGGTAATAAACGTCCACGTTTTACTTCATCTGCTTTTACCGCTCAATGGACAGGAGGTCTCGGCGGCCTTCCTAATTTTTGGCTATATTATCTCTCAGCTCTTTTCTATCACAATGGGCAACTGTTAACTCTCAGACCCGTAGTTCAAGTTTTTGAATCTCAGTCTATACACCCGTTTTATCTACCGGGTATTTTGTGGTCCAAAATCTCCCCTCGATCGCTTACTTTTCATAACTCCATAGTGACACATTCACTGACACTTTGGTCTAAATACAAATTTAAATTAAATCTGGTCTCTTCTGTTCCTCTAGGTATTTCATTTTTTGGTGATCCAACTTTCATTGCAGCTTTTTCCTCCCTCTCAAACGTTTCGTTGGTGGTATGATCAATCTTTTATTAGATTATCTGATTTTCAAAGAGGAGGATCTTATATTACTTTTGATATGCTGCGCGAGTGTTTTTTGATGTTCCTTTTCGTGAATATCATCGCTACCGACAGATTAGACATTTTTTGAATTCACATTTTGGTCTTATACCCTCTTCTCCAATTTTATTTTTTGAACGCATCCGCCGAGACTCTCCTAGGGGTAGGGGTTTTATTTCTGATCTTTATCACCAATTTTTGATCTGTCTTTCTCCTATGCCTCCTCTATATAGACAAAAATGGGAGGATAGTGGTATCACTCTTTCAGATGAGGACAGGGATTCCATGGTGGATAACATATGCAGGAGTTCTAGGTCTCTTTCTGTTCGTGAGACTGCCCTTAAGGTCTTAACCAGACGGTATTATACCTCATCAAGACAACATGTATTGTTCCCACAAACGTCCCCTTTATGTTTCCGGGTCTTTGATTCATATATTTTGGGATTGCCCGACCACATCTTTGATTTGGCGCAAGTTATCTGAGGTGGCTACCTCATTGGCAGGTATCCCAGTACGATTGTCTATACAGACCTGTTTATTGGGGGCTCCTATCCCGGGGGTCTCTGATGTCATTATGAGACTGATACATACTATTTGTATTGTCACTTTGTGGGCTGTGGCCTCACATTGGAAGTCCAATACTGTACCCTTAACCTCCGTTTTGCACAGAGTTGATGCTGTATTGCTCAAGGAGCGTATTTATTATACCTTACTGGATAAGATGCACTTACCGTATTTGCCGGCGTATAAGACGACTGGGCGTATAAGACGACCCCCTACTTTTCCTGTTAAAATATAGGGTTTGAGCTATACTCGCCGTATAAGACTACCCCTCTTCCAACACACACCAAATAAAAATGAAAAAACATCAGATTTGATTTCAATATGGTATGCTATTTCAGTATGGTATTCCAATGATGGGGTGCTATTCCTCCCACTGACACCAATGATGGGGCACGATTCCTCGCTCTGACACCAATGATGGGGCACTATTCCTCCCACTGACACCAATGAAGGGGCACTATTCCTCCCACTGATACCAATGATGGGACACTATTCCTCCCACTGACACCAATGATGGTGCCCCATCATTAGTGTCAGTGTGTGAGGAATAGTGTCCCATCATTAGTGTCAGTGGGAGGAATAGTGCCCCATCATTAGTCAGTGGGAGGAATAGTGCCCCATCATTGGTGTCAGTGGGAAGAATCGTGCCCCATCATTGGTTGCAGTGGGAGGAATAGTGTCCCATCATTAGTGTCAGTGGGAGGAATAGTGCTCCATCATTGGTGTCAGTGGGAGGAATAGTGCCCCATCATTGGTATCAGTGGCAGGAATTGCGCCCCATCATTGGTATCAGTGGAAGGAATAGTGTCCCATCGTTGGTATCAGTGGCGGGAAAAGTGCCCCATCATTGGTATCAGTGGGGGGGTGGAATAGTGCCCCATCGTTGGTGTCAGTGGGGGGGTGGAATAGTGCCCCATCGTTGGTGTCAGTGGGGGGGTGGAATAGTGCCCCATCATTGGTGTCAGTGGGGGAGGAACAGTGCCTCATCGTTGGTGTCAGTGTGGAGGAGCAATAGTGCCTCATCGTTGGTGTCAGTGGGGGGGAAGAAATAGTGCCCCATCGTTGGTGTCAGTGGAGGAGGAATAGTGCCCCATCCTTGGTGTCAGTGGGGGAGGAACAGTGCCTCATCGTTGGTGTCAGTGGGGGAGGAACAGTGCCTCATCGTTGGTGTCAGTGGGGGAGGAACAGTGCCTCATCGTTGGTGTCAGTGGGGGAGGAACAGTGCCCCATCATTAGTGTCAGTGGGGAGAGGAATAGTGCCAAGAGTGTCACAGCATGGTGCTGCTTACTGGCTGCTCCCTCACTCAATTTTCGTGGGGCCGCTCGGCTCCGCCTCCTCGCCGGTGATTGGTCGCCTGTGTGCCTTTCCAGTGCTGGCGCCCAATCACCGGTGAGGAGGCGGAGCCGAGCGGCCACACGACCATCGAGCGGCCACGCGACCATCGAGCGGCCGAACTGAAAAGGAGCAGCCGCGCTTCCTGGACCGGATCGTCGTGGGACCGGGACCGGAGCCAGGTAAGGTACAGCAGCCCCCTGCCCGCCCCTGTACTTAGTGTCCCTTCCGCCACCGCGCGCCGCCCCTGGAAAAAGTGCCGCCCTGACACCGGCTCGCCGTATACCGGCGTATAAGACGACCCCCGACTTTCCAGAAGATTTTTATGGGTTAAAAAGTCGTCTTATACGCCGGCAAATACGGTATTTGAAAAAAAATGGGAATCATGGAAGGATTATAGACATTTATTGCATGATTAACAACATCCCAAGTGAAGACTGACTGGCATATACTGTTGACAGATGTAACATTCAACCTATTTAATTGTCTACGTTTTCATGTACTTGCAATCTACTGTTTTCTACTTTCTATTTCCTCCTTTCTTATATTAATATACTTTTCTGTATTGTACTTTTCAAATGTGCCTTGCTTTTGCTGTATCTCTTGAACTGTACTGTTGTACTGTTGTCTTACAGTCTACTTTTGCGAAATAAAACCGTTTGTAAACAAAAAAAATATTCCGTGGAAAACAGCGGAAGGGCTAAATGCTAGTGCTGACAGCAAACAGGTCTGATCCTATTAACAAAATCCTGTGTTTTTGGAAACACTATAACAAGGAGGCACTAGTATAGTTCTGGTCTTGATCAATATATTGATCCGTACAAAAACTATACTAGTAATGGCAGCAATCAGAGACCTATAGTGTGAAGGCAATCTAATGCTAGCTGACCTGGGCTGGGAGAGGAGCTTACAGAACTTGATGTAAAATGTCACTAGTGGCAGTAATACAGTGATTAGTGAAAAATTGTATATACTGTCACTGTACTAATGGCACTGGCTGGGTGACAAAGGTGATCAAAGTGTTAATAAGGCCGATCAAAGGGTTAAATGTGCTAATCTAACGTGTATGTAAATGTGGTGCTTTTACTCTGTGCTGTGTTTGTTCTTCTCTCCCTGGAGTGGCATATGCATGCACGCACGCACGCCCAGAAACCCGAAAGCGATGTAAGGGGGGTATGTCGCTTTGCCCAGAGCTGCTTAACTACTTGAGTGGTCGGGCAGCAAGTAGCTATTTTTTTTTATTTTCTCAGTATTTTTAAACATTTTTCTTTCTTACTATTAAAAAAAAAATACTTTCATCAGAGTAATACAATGCTACCATAGTAACATTGGGCTACTCTGGGGGGTGATCAGAGATGTTTTATTTTTTTTTACACTGTGCATTGCAGAACAATAATATTGGCATCAATGAACACAACACAAAATGGGAGTTCTTTTCAAAAAGACTGTATGTAAACACACTGCAAAATATATTCCCATGGACAACAAGCTTAAAAGGCTATAATTTAAACCTATGTGGCTTACGGCCAAAGATAAAAAAGCTATAGATAATAAGAAAAGAGCTTTTATAAAATGTAGAAATGAAGGAACACTATCATCGTTTAAACATTACAAAGAATATAACAGAATATGCAAAAAGGAAATAAAGGCCACAAAATTGAAAATGAAAGACAGATTGCAAAAGATAGCAGGACCAACCCCAAAAAATTATTCAAATATATTAATAGCAAAAAGGTCCGGTCCGAGCATGTAGGCCCTTTACAAAATAATCTAGAGTGGGTGACTGGGGACAAAGAGAAGGCAAATTTATTAAATACCTTCTTCAGCTCTGTGTATACAAAGGAGCATGGGGGAGCTCTTGTCCATAATGGGCATGGTATTGACACAGCTCCAGATGATCTACATTTGCTCACAATTGATATGATACCAAAATATTTAGACAGACAGAATAAAGGTGAATAAAGCACCTGGACCGGATGGCATACACCCACGGGGCCTTAAAGAATTGAGCTCTGTCATTTCAAAGCCATTGTTTCTAATTTGTAGGGACTCTTTAATGACTGGCATAGTACCACTGGATTGGTGTAAGGCCAATGTGGTGCCAATATTTTAAAAAGGGTCAAAATCTTTACCAAGTAATTATAGACCTGTTAATTTAACTTCTATAGTTGGAAAGATACTGGAGAGTTTAATATAAGACCACATAGATGAGTTCTTGCTGGAAAAAAATATTTTAAGCAACACAGCATGGATTCACGAAAGATAGAAGTTGTCAAACAAATATGATTTCTTTTTATGAGAAGGTGGGCAAAACCTTGGACAGAGGGGTGGCGGAAGACTACTTGGATTTTGCGAAAGCATTTGCCACAGTTCCCCACACAAGGCTAATGTGTAAGGTAAAGTGTACGGGCTTGGAAAAATCTGTATGTAAATGGATAGAAAACTGGCTAAATGATCGTATTCAAAGAGTAGTGGTTAATGATTCATACTCTGAATGGTCTAGGGTTGTTAGTGGTGTACCCCAAGGTTCAGTGGTAGGACCCTTACTTTTTAATACATTTATAAACGATATAGGGTCTGGGATTAAAAATACCATTTCAGTCTTTGCAGATGACACCAAGCTGTGCAGTGGAATAACGTTCTTACAGGATGTCTCCAACTTAAAAGCCAACCTCAATGCACTGTGTAACTGGGCAACTATGTGGCAAATGAGGTTTAATGTTGATAAATGTAAGGCTATGCACTTGGGGGCTAAGAATATGCATGCATCATACAGTACATACTAGGGGGGGGGGGGGGGGGGGGGGGGGGTTTCATTGGGGGAATCAATAAGGATCTGGGAGTTCCAGTCGATCACAAGCTTAATAATGGCATGAGATGCCAAGCTGCAGTTTCAAAAGCGAGCAAAATCCTCTCTTGTATAAAGAGGTATAGACTCCAAAGAGAGATATCATATTACCCCTGTACAAATGATTAGTAATACCTCATCTGAAATATGCAGTTCAGTTTTGGGCACAAATTCACAAAAAGAACATTGGGGAACTCGAGAAAGTAAAGAGAATTGTAACCAAACTGATAAGAGGCATGGAGGAGCTCAGCTATGAGGAAAGATTGGAGGAACTGAATTTATTCTCTCTTGAGAAGAGGAGATTAAGGGGGGATATGATCAACATGTATAAATACATCAGTGGTTCATATAGTGAACTCGGTGTAGAGTTATTCATCCTGATGTCATCACAGAGGACAAGGGGGCACTCTACATCTGGAAGAAAAGAAATGTAATCTCCAAACACAGAAAGGTTTCTTCACAGTGAGAGCTGTGAAAATGTGGAATAGACTCCCTCAAGAGTTAATTCTGCCCAGCTCCATTGATTGCTTTAAAAAAGACCTGGATTCTTTCCAAGATACACAGAATATACCTCCATACTAATATTTACAGATAAAGTTGATCCATGGAATATCCAATTGCCTCTTGGGAGATCAGGAAGGAATTTTTTCCCCTGCAAGAGCAAATTGGATCATGCTTTGCTAGATTTTTTTGCCTTCCTCTAGATCAACTGTGGGTATAGGATTATAACCTTTTTTTTAATGGTTGAACTGGATGGACTTTTGTCTTTTTTCAGCCAGACTAACTATGTAACTATGTAAGCAATGTGTGCTTTGAACTGTCATGAATGGGTTTAGTTCATGACAGTTCAAAATACAATGATCTGTGATTGGCTCCAGCTGATCACATGATAGAGGATGCTGTGATTGGCCCTATGTACCATGTGAGAGCTGTGGGCCAATAAAAGCTCACCAGGAAGAGAAGCAGAGCTGTTAACAGCTGTGTTACCATTTTGATCATGTGATCGCATGACCACCAGGTTCCGTTCACCTGGATCTTCATTGTGCTGTGTCTGGTGGACACAGCAGATATGGGGGGTAGGATTGCACGCCCGATCAGGTGCACAGCGCCCCCCCCCCTCGTGTTGCTACAATACCAGCAATGTACAGGTACATTGCTGGTCCTTTAGCTGCTGCCCATTTAAGGTACATTACAGGTGGGGGAACTGACAGGAAGCGATTAAAGTCCAGAGTCTCCTAGATTTTAAATCTACAGCAGCAGCAAAGATATGCAGAGTTAGTGCTGGCCATATTTATTAGAAAGCTCAGCATGCTTTTTTTTTTATTTTATCTCCACAAAAATAAGATGCTATTTAATTTGGAGACTGTGCTCCCTACAACTGTAAAATGGAATTCTTTTGGTGCCTACTGAGTCCAAAGACAACATCCTTGAAAGGCACTCAATTTGTATACATTATAGATACCAGTTTGATAATGTTAGGAGAATTAAACTTACTATGACACAGAAATACATTCAACTCAGGAATTTGCCGTGGAATTTCCAATCTGACCTTTGAGCTTGAAAAGAAGAAGCAAAACAGAATGCAATTTAATTTAGAAATACTGTATACTGTACATGGTATCATAAACTGTGCTACTTTACAATATTTCAAAGTAAAAGAAAAGCAAATAAAGTGAATATTTTCTGGTTAAGGATGAGTGAATCTGCCTGAATTTGGTTCATGAACAGTTCCATGAATCTTGCTTGAAATTCGAAGTTTCCAAAACTTTGCAGCGAACCTTATATAAGACTATAGGGAGTAAATCTTATTAAATTCTGGATATATGTAGTGCTAATAAACAAGCTATTCAAAGAAAAGGTATAGGAAGCCAGATACTTCCATGAGGGGAAGGGGGCATGTACTAATGCCAAAAAAACAAAATATTGTCATCTCTCCATTAATTGAACACACACTGACAATATGGATAATGGGAGCCCCCCTTGTTTTAGAAAGTGGGCTCCTGTGACTGCTGACCTGGGAAAAAAGGCTGTGCATTGCATGACAAGTTATTTCATATTTTTGGTGACAACCTTGTGAACTTTTTTGCCAAATCCATGGAAGAGGTGAACCCAGGGCCGGAACAATGGGGTGGGCAGAAGGGACAGCCCCTCTCACCACTCGCACATTCTAGCGGTAGGCAACCATAAAGTAAGCAATTGGTCGTGCATGTGCAGTCCGCACTCCGAGACAACTATGGGCAGCCAGAGCAAGGGACGGAGAATGAGCACAGGGTGGTGCAGTCATACTATGGCACTCATTAGCAGCAAGGTAATGCCCTGGGTGCTGGACAAACCTGTCCTGGTGCTGGGTAAACCCAAACTTTTTACCTACCGTATTTTCCGGCGTATAAGACGACTTTTTACCCCTTGAAAATCTTCTCAAAAGTCGGGGGTCATCTTATACGCCGGTAACGGCATGCTGACACTTTTTAGGGTGGCGGCGCGGTGCCGCCGCCGCCCCCCCCCTTCCAACAGAAGGGAAACTAAGTACAGGGGTGGGCAGGGGCTGCTGTCTCTTACCTGGCTCCGGTCCCACGACGATCCGGTCCAGGAAGCGCGGCTGCTCCTTCCTTCGGTTCGTCCACTGGATGTTCGCGCGGCTGCTCGGCTCGGCCTCCTCACCGGTGATTGGCCGCCAGAACTGTAGCTCAGGAAAGGCACACAGGCGGCCAATCACCGGCGAGGAGGCGGAGCTGAGCGGCCCCGCGAAAATCGAGTGGAGATGCACGTAAGTGTGCCGTGCTTAGGTGCTGCTGCAACCACATATGCTGGCTGCAGCAGCACCATACTGGAACAGGGGTCAGCAAGTGTCAGTGGGAAGAATAGTGCCCCATCGTTGGTGTCACTGATACCAATGATGGGGCATTATTCCTGACCCACTGGGGACACCCCCCCACTGACACCAACGATGGGGCACTTTTCCTCCCCCCCCCACTGACACCAACGATGGGGCACTATTCCCCCCCCCCTGACACCAATGATGGGGCACTATTTCCCCCCCCACTGACACCAATGATGGGATACTATTCCCCCCCCCCACTGACACCAACGATGGGGCATTATTCCCCCCCCCACTGACACCAATGATGGGATACTATTCCTCCCCCCCACTGACACCAAAGATGGGGCACTATTCCACTGACACCAATGATGGGGTGCCCCCCCAATGATACTAATGATGGGCTACTATTCCTGCCACTGATACCAATGATGGGACACTATTCCTCCCACTGACACCAATGATGGGACACTATTCCTCCACTGATACCAATGATGGGGCACTATTCCTCCCACTGATACCAATGATGGGACACTATTCCTTCCACTGACACCAATGATGGGGCACTATTCCTCCCACTGACACCAATGATGGGGCACTATTCCTGCCACTGATACTAATGATGGGGTGCTATTCCTCCCACTGACACCAATGATGGGGCACTATTCCTGACACTGATACCAATGATGGGGCACTATTCCTCCCACTGACACCAATGATGGGGCACTATTCCTCCCACTGACACCAATGATGGGGTACTATTCCTCCCACTGACACCAATGATGGGGCACTATTCCTCCCCCCCCACTGACACCAATGATGGGGCACTATTCCACCCCCCACTGACACCAATGATGGGGCACTATTCCACCCCCCACTGACACCAATGATGGGATACTATTCCTCCCCCCCACTGACACCAATGATGGGGCACTATTCCCCCCCCCCCACTGACACCAATGATGGGATACTATTCCTACTGACACCAAAGATGGGGCACCCACTGACACCAATGATGGGGCACTATTCCTCCCACCCCAATGATGGGGACATTCCTCCCACAATGATGGGGTACTATTCCTCCCACTGACACCAATGATGGGGCACTATTCCTCCCCCCCCCACTGACACCAATGATGGGGCACTATTCCCCCCACTGACACCAATGATGGGGCACTATTCCACCCCCCTGACACCAATGATGGGGCACTATCCACCCCCCACTGACACCAATGATGGGATACTATTCCTCCCCCCCCACTGACACCAACGATGGGGCACTATTCCCCCCCCCCCTCCTGACACCAATGATGGGATACTATTCCTCCCACTGACACCAAAGATGGGGCACTATTCCACTGACACCAATGATGGGGCACTATTCCTCCCACTGACACCAATGATGGGGCACTATTCCTCCCACTGACACCAATGATGGGGCACTATTCCTCCCATTCCTGGGGTACTATTCCTCCACTGACACCAATGATGGGGCACTATTCCTCCCACTAATACCAATGATGGGGCACTATTCCTCCCACTGACACCAATGATGGGGCACTATTCCTCCCACTGACACCAATGATGGGGTACTATTCCTCCCACTGACACCAATGATGGGGCACTATTCCTCCCACTAATACCAATGATGGGGCACTATTCCTCCGACTGACATCAATGATGGGGCACTATTCCTCCCACTGACACCAATGATGGGGCACGATTCTTCCCACTTGTGTGCACTGGAAGAGGGGTAGTCTTATACGGCGAGTATAGCCCAAACACTACATTTTAAACAGGAAAAGTAGGGGGTCGTCTATATACGCCCAGTCGTCTTATACGCCGGAAAATACGGTAATTATGGTCGTGAACAAAGGCCATCTGTGTATGCTTAGGACAATGCTGGTTTTTTTAAGCTTTTGTGGAATTTGACAGACAAGGCACAGATATATTTGATCTGTAACAAAGCGCACACACCCTAAATTAATTCATTAAACTGTTATCATGGTGCCCATGCATGTTTTCATAGGTTTTTTTTTCAGAATTCCAACCAATTCTGCAAGTGGTGTCAAAAAGTTTAGAGACTAGTGTTGTAACACGTCAACTGATGGCAGAAGGCTGCACACACAGTCACAGGGAGCACTGGCCTTGATAAGTTAGTGTGCCAAAAGACATCGTCCTGTGTACATCAGGAGCTGTGCAAAAGGTTCTTATGTAGCCATTTTGTCAACTTAAACTATCAGATTTTTTTTCTTACATTGCTTTTTGAGATTATAAAAAAGAAAAACTAACAAAAGCAATTGGAAAACATGTGTGTGGAATGTATAAAAGGAAATACACAAAATATGAAGACATGTTCAGAATAAATCTAAAAAAAAAATCTATGCAAAACAGATGCATCTAGTCACAATTTGCAACTGGAAAGTGAAAGGGTTGGCATGTATCACCTCTCACAGAGATCACAATCCTCCACCTAACAATGCTTTCGTCTACTTTTCTCTCCTGAAGGACATTTCATCTTGTTCAGGCATCATCCAGGGGTATCAATCTATCGGATTGAGTTGCTGGCCCAGAGTATATAGAAACATTTAAATCCAGATGTCTGTGAAGTTCCTGATTGTTCTCACAATTGTCTAACACAGATCATCCACAGCTGTGACCTCTTAAGTCTCATTCAGATGAGCTCTGAAACCCATAGCTTGTGAATTAGCTCCTTGTTTACTCTCTAGGCTCCAGGTGGTCCATGTGGACAGCCCATTCATGTTTGTTAGGATCCAGATGCTTTGCGGACACAGCGTGTGTGGGTGAGCAGCCCCAAGCGTGGACAGTGTACAATCATGGGAGTTCACCAACACCCCACACCGCTGCCATTTTAGGAGTGATTTTAGTAATGTTTAAATTGAAAGATTAAAAATATAAAACCCTAATAATGCCCCCAGCTCTTTGAGAGAATTTAGATTCCAGGAGGTGGAGCTGGACATTCTGATCATATGACCGCTGTGACAGAGGTCACATGATCAGAAACTCCAGCTTGCAAGTATGCATAGTATGTTTTCTGTGACGATTTAGTTACTGTGCAGTGAGCTCGCTCTCAGCACAAAAAAACATGAATTATGGATGCATATATGCAGCTACTCACCGTTAAAGACCACCCACCCAAAGGCTGCATATATGCATACAGCTGGCAGCAACAGGTTAAATTCCATGTATGCCAGGGGGATGCTCTGACCCTGCCTGTGATGTGGCACATCTGTGGGATGTTTATAACAAAACTGACATTTACAAAGAAAAGTGTGTTTGACTTTCCATCAAAATGACAACTTTTGTCCACTTTGTTTTATTGGTAAACAAATTGGGGATTCCAATCATCTACAGGGGTTAGTTGCAGACAACATGTTTCTTTCCTAAGTGTTTCTTTTGCGAGTGTTGTTGTTTTTATCATTTTCTCATCATCATGTCCTCTCTGTTTTTTCATAGGTAAATGTCTCTGTGCAATAACCATCTGTACTATCTCCATGCCATTTATGATGGATAATTGACACTGCTATGCTATATGGTAAATGTCAGCATGCAAAATCCTTTAAACTTGTCTATATACTGTCTATACATGTCTATATACTTGGTGATTTGATTCTTGCCTCCCTTTTTTTGCCTTCACAATCAAAGAATCAATCACCTTTTTACGACTTTGGCCTTTGTCTGACCTTTTTTTTCCTCCCCCACCCATTCAAGTGTCTAAAATCAGATCCTAATTAAATCCAATTGACAAATGTTTGCCAGTCCCATCTTCCTATAAATTTAGTTCAGCTAATGGAGAAGTCGCAGACAGGGGTTAGTCATGGACAACATGTTTCTTTGCTGAGTGTTTCTTTAACAAGTGTTGTTGCCGTTTTACCGCCACAGTTTAACAAAAGCAGGACAATGAAAGCTGTACAAAGATACAAGAACTCTGCTCCACTCTGGAAGGATGGCAAACAAATCAACATTTGATATTTCTTTTCCTATGACATCTGATTCTCACTAATATGCTCCCTCTACTCTTCCTTTTCACATTAATGTTCTCTGTCCTCAAATTTTCCTTACTTTACCGCTCATCTCCACACCACAGCCTATACATATCACCCTCACTCCTACCATCTCCCTTTTACTGCACCTATCACCTCTTTGAAATGCTGAACCTTCATTCTGACACAAACACCAGGGCAGTGAAGTATGTGCGCTCATATATATCTTGCTCCCATCTTACTTTCCTCACCTTCTGTCTTTTCCTAATCTCTGGGGACATTTCTCCCAGTCCTGGTCTGCCCTGTTCTAACTTCAAAAACCATATCCATAACCCTTCCTCCAATCTACAAATATATGTTGCGCTCCTAAATACTTCTCAATAAATAATTAAATTATTACCATTAAATTAATTCAAATTATGATACAAATAACTAATAAAAGTGTATAAATACCAAAAAATATTTAAATAGATAATTTCAACTAATCAATCTCCTCCAAATAAATATCAAAATAATTCCACATAAAATACTCCTCTGAAAAAATATTTTGCCAAGTGCTCATAAATCATTAGTGGCATGATGTACTTACTAATACCCTCAATTTCATTTATATTCATAATACCCTCATTTAATATAACAAAAATAATAAACCAACTAATAACACTCAACTAAAACGCATTTAAATGATCCCCATAAACAAAAATAACCAAATGCTCATAAATAACTAGTAGTGATTAGTATGAATCCAAACATCATCAAAATAATAGTCCCATTGAATAAACAATTGTTTGTATATAGTGACTTGGTGCTTGTTGTTCCTCAATTTGTGACTTTTGTGAATCCTTCAAATAGTGAAGATGTGCGCTCACCTCCTTTGATGCCTGCAATTAGGCTATACACGCTTTCGGTTCACTTTCCCTGGAACCTGCTGGACATATACTTTTGCTGGTAAAATTGGGAGATCCTTCCTTTAGGAGTAATGGATGTATCCTCTGGTGGCTGATTATCCCCTCAGGGATTACACACTCCTTTTGTTATCCCAGACCTCCTAATTATCCTCTCCTTGTGTTACTCCGCATGCAGGAAGAAATAGAGGACATAGTGCTTTACCTTTTAAAACTTTTTTATTCCCACCATCCAAGTATTAAACTCACATTAGACAAGTTTAAATAACGCAATATCCCATTGGAAATGCCACTAATGATTTATGAGCACTTTGCAAAATATTTTTTCAGAGGAGTATTTTATGTG